GGACCAGTTGACCTTGGAGCAACCCTTGTTGGACCATCCCATCATGCTTCCGTAGTAGGACCAGTTGACCTTGGAGCAACCCTTGTTGGACCATCTCATCATGCATCCGTAGTAGGACCAGTTGACCTTGGAGCAACCCTTGTTGGACCATCCCATCATGCTTCAGTTGTAGGACCTACCAATTTAGGAGCTCACCTTGTCGCACCCTCAGTTCATGGTATTGTTCATGGAAGCCACAGTCATGGAACCATCCTTCTTGCTTCTTCGTCCCTCCATCACCATTAAATCTTAAGCTTATCATTCACTATGAGATTTGTTGTTACACCATGAATTAATTAAGTACCGTATACCGATACACAGAAACGTGCTTGTTGATGGTTAACAGTGTGAGATTTTGTTGCAATTCATTGTTGTAATTTTTTCTTTATATTGTGTTAAATAAAATATTTTGCTCTTTTATATTTCATTAGTTTTATTTAAAGCAATTAAAATTAACGTTAAGTGGTGTAATAAGCTGTCAATTATGAGGTACTTGAGAAATCGGTGTTCCTTTAAAAGTTTTTTTACATAATAATTTCAAATTTCACTAAGTATACGANGCTGAACACCTCCAAAACTCGAAAAAACGTTTTATTCCCTTTCATTCAAGCACTAAAACCTCCACTACTGGAGATCTCAACCCTCTAGAAGTCGAAATAATCAGTGAGTCCCTGCAAGCTATATTGGTACATATTTTTCGTCTACCACTCGAAAATACAAATTAAACCTCTGTATCTTAGGACTGACGACTATATGATGATGACGATGATCTCGAACATAGCAATGTTTTATTTTATAACATTTGCAATTCGATAATTTAAAACTTATTATGTCTACAGTTCGAAGAAAACTAAGTTATCGCCTTTAAAAATTACCGATAATGTAAGTACACCAAATCCTAACCTACACAAGTCGAATCAAAATCCTCCATAAGTCGAAAATTCGAAGTTTTTGGCGTCTCCCTCAATGTTCGATATTTAGAAGTTCTGCTGTATAAGGCAAAATACACACTATTGCAACCAACTTTGAACCTTGATACGTATAGTCGTATAGAGAATCATTTTCTAAAACCTTTCCAACTAAATCATGCAGGAATAAGCGAAATGAAATTTTTATTTGAAGTGTCATTTTGTTTATCTTTATTTCTGATTGAGTAATTATACATACATTAAACTTCATTTCATTTTTAAAAAGAAACCATGTGAATGTGGACAAGCTTTACATACCAACGTATAACTGATAACTAAAAAATGAATGTATATGTGAATAAACCAGTAAACAAGTTTTCGTAATAGATGTAGTGAAATGCTTTAATAAGTAAACATTAAATCATGGATGCGTAGATAAGTCGAACAGGTTTAGACTTTCAAATTCAAAACTAATTTCTTATCCCTCTATTGCAAGTGGTAATCTCGTCCCGGTCGAAGGTCAAAATTAAATATAAAAATCACAGTCGAATGACAACAGACATCAGATAATTGATTAACCACCTATAGTACCAACAAAATGAAATTCATGGTAAGTACCTGCATTAAATACTATCTATTTCTATTTAGTTCATGTAATGTGCAACGATAGATTGAAACTAAAACAAACATTTTCTCGTTAAATTATTAAAATAGTTCTATTATATCATGTATTAAAAAGAAAAAATTTGAACATTTAGATATATTAAAAATAACATAATTGTATTATAGATTGTCGTATCTTTAATTTGCTTGGCAACATTTGCCAATGCTGGTATCCTCTTGGGACACCACGGTCATGATGACGGTCAATGGCGCGGCGAAGGACTTTTAGAAAGTCAATGGTACGGCGATCATGAAGCCCATGGTATAATTGCTGCTCCTCTTCTTGCTCATGGTCATGGACACGCCACAATTGTAGGACCCTCTAGCCATGGTATTGTTGCTGGACCCGTAAATCATGGTGCTACCCTTGTTGGCCCATCTCACCATGCTTCAGTTGTAGGACCAGTTGACCTTGGAGCAACCCTTGTTGGACCATCTCATCATGCTTCCGTAGTAGGACCAGTTGACCTTGGAGCAACCCTTGTTGGCCCAACCCATCATGGTTCAGTTGTAGGACCTACCAATTTAGGAGCTCACCTTGTAGCACCCTCAGCTCATGGTATTGTTCATGGAAGCCACAGTCATGGAACCATCCTTCTTGCTTCTTCGTCCCTCCATCATCATTAAATCTTAAGCTTATCATTCACTATGAGATTTGTTGTTACACCATGAATTAATTAAGTACCGTATACCGATACACAGAAACGTGCTTGTTGATGGTTAACAGTGTGAGATTTTGTTGCAATTCATTGTTGTAATTTTTTCTTTATATTGTGTTAAATAAAATATTTTGCTCTTTTATATTTCATTAGTTTTATTTAAAGCAATTAAAATTAACGTTAAGTGGTGGAATAAGCTGTCAATTATGAGGTACTTGAGAAATCGGTTTTCCTTTATAAGTTTTTGTACACAATAATTTCAAATTTCACTAAGTATACGATTCAGTTGATATTAAAAATACGTATTTTGTACGAAATGTTCAAAAACTGCCTTCAACCGTTAATTTTGACGAGTTTCGCAACTATCATCAGTTCGAAATACCCGCCACCAGTATCAGACTAAAGCGGCTAAACTTAAGAGTGGACAAAAGCGAGCCTTTGCAGGCTTAATTTTCGACTAGTTTCGTCTATTACGACATCTTCAAGAATATATAAAATTATAATAGTTGCACTAAGTTTAAGTGTATACGTATAGGTGAACAAATACTAATGTAAATACAATGTTATCCGTAGTTTCCAACAATAAATTGATATAAGTTCTGAACATTAAATTAAAGTTAAAATAATTAATTTGAGTGTTGGTTAATTGCATTATATCTATTTGTTCATTGTAAATAATGAACTTCTTACTTTGATCATTTGTATTCTCATTATTGTTTATTACTTATTTTAATTTTCATTTTACTAAAGGCACAATTACCCTTTTCCAACTTATCTTTAGCCAAAACTAACATTAACCTCCATATTTATTGTTTCGGGAAAGATTGTATTTACTGAAGTGCATTCCAATCTGTTCACTTGTATGCACTTTTAAGTTTAATTTCTTTTAAAGTTTGCTCCTTGTTTCTTAGAGTAAGTACTTATCTTTCCGAAAAATTTAGAAGCACATCTAATTAATAACAACATTGAAGAAGAAAAAATTACTGAATACTAGCGACTCATTTCCTTCTGCATATTCAACCAATTTTTTCAATTCTACAATAAATTTAATTAACAAAATGAAGGCACCGCCATGAGAAATAGTTTACTTCCATTTACAGCGAACTTATTTGTGAGCAGGTTGGAAACAGATTTTAAAAAGATTCTAAATGTATAAAAGAGAGTTTGGGTACATTACGTGGATGATATTTTTACGATTTTTGACACAAAGAAGTACGACATTGATACCTTTTTAAATTAACTTAACTCTAAATTCTGCAGAATTAAATTTAGGTGTCTAGAAATAGAATACAAAGGGCATTTACCGTTTCTAGATGTTTAAGTATCAGAAATAATCATACAATTGAATTTGACATTTAAAGAAAGTGAACTAATGCTTTAAGGCCTTAACAAAAGTGTCTAACAAAATCCAATCGAAAATTTTCTAACGAGATCTGTTTTTGCGTGACAAATAATTTCAGTAGGTCTGTAAAACCAATTGGACAGCTGCAGAAGTTACATTAGGTCAAAGGTCACAAAAATCAATTTTTCTCAAATATCTTGTAAATCGGTTTCGCGTTGTTTTTGGTTGGTACTATCAGAGTTTGCTAAATTAATCTGTATAAAAATGACCTCATACAAAATTTACGTATATAGAACCAATATTTTTCGTGATATATCATCATCATCATAAGGTCGTCAGTCAGTTGGTTGGACACGCACTTACACTTTTTCTTATCCTGAGCTAATCTTTGCCCTTCTCTAAAACTAGAACTTAACTACTTGCGAACAGTAATCTAATCTAGTTCAAACTTTACTCCTCTTAACTCCTGTTTCTGCCTCTAATATGTCTCTGACTAGACCTTCATGCCTGAGAAGGTGTCCTATCAACCTATCTCGCCTATTTTGTATTGTGTTCTCTGTTCTCCTATTCTTTCTAATACCTCTTCATTTCTAACTTTCTCTATCCGCGGTATCCTCATCATTCGTCTGTAACATCACATTTCCAACGCTTCCAATCTTTTCTTTTCCGCCGCGCCCATCGTCTATGTTTCGCACCCGTACAGCGCCTCGCTCCAAACATACACCTTTAACAATCTTTTTCGATTAATCGTTGACGAGCAGAATTCGAGTATTGCTAATCCTAACCATGCAAGATGCGTTTCTTTTGCATATGCTCTGTAGTTAGTTAGTCTAGGCTGACTTATTCCACTGTAAATTTCTAATCAAAGTATGCTGTTCCTATTAATAAATACTACATTTAGTCGTAAATGTGTTGATGATATATTTCGGTTATATGGAAATAAAAGTAATCTAGATACTGCGTTTCATGATTCAATTTATTTTTTGACCTTTTAATGAGAGATAAACCCGTGTGAATGGATAGGTGCTTAATGGACTGAAAGTAGGAAATTAATTCATTTTTTCATTAGGGTAAGCACTGTTACCCATTAAGTCATGTGGTAACATTTGAACATTTACTTAAAAAAGTAACAAAGGACAAAACATACATTGCTGCATTCCAGTTTCGATAATTACTTATTACATTATTAGAATGCAATTCGAAAATCTGAGATACACGTGTATATACAGTGTGTAATTACTAATTAATAGTATATTTTACTTAAGCGATCATTAACCGATCCGTGACTGACAAATTGATTTACGTTTAATTGTTAAGGATTTAACGGAGATCGTAAAAAGGGAACTTTTTACTTCCCTCATAATATATCAATATATATAACACAAAGAATGAATTCAATTAATGCCTTTTAGGCTAAATTATTTATTTTATTTTTTACTTTCTATTAATTTCCCCCAGTAGCTACAGAGTCAATTACTAATAAAAGAAGAAAAAATGGAGAATGAAGATTTCAAATTATTCTGTTGTTGTGCTATTTATAATGAAGATTTGATTTTTGCTGGTGTCCATATTGCCTCTTCGTAATATTA